GCTGGCTGAGCTGCTGGCTGAGCTGCTGGCTGAGTGAGCTGCTGAGTGAGCGAGCGAGCTGCTGGCTGGCTGAGCTGCTGGCTGAGCTGCTGGCTGGCTGAGCGAGCGAGCGGCTGGCTGAGTGAGCGAGCCCCTCAGAAGGAAGGCAGCATGGAACAGATTCCCCACACGAGTTGTCGGGGGACCCCCAAATGAGGCCTCATTCCACTCTGTCGTCACCGGGACCCCAACTCTTGGCAGCGTGCTCCTTGTGTGGCGGCTAGCTCTGCACACCAGCCGGCTGGACTCGCACTACACAAGACTACACCGAGGGGGTGAGAAGCTCACTCACCTGTGAGTACCCAATCACGCTCCGGTTGGCTTTTGTCTCCATGGATACACATGGCGGGCCAGCTGTAAGGAAGCACACAAGACGGTGGGTGGGGCGGAGAGCACGGGGGTGGGGTTAGTACACACACGGAGAGAGAGACACAGCACTCGCACAGGGCGGCACAGCGAGATGGGTGGGTGGATTGGGTGGTACTCCCCCACACACACACACGTCTCAACGAGGGAGATTTCAGTGGCTGGCGGGGGGGAGAGGGGGGGAGTGGCTGGGGGAGCTTTTGGGCGAGCGAGTGGCTGGGTGAGAGAGCGAGTGGCTGGGAGAGAGAGCGAGTGGCTGGGTGAGCGGGCGAGCGAGTGGCTGGGAGAGAGAGCGAATGGCTGGGAGAGAGAGCGAGCGAGTGGCTGGGAGAGAGAGCGAGTGGCTGAGAGAGAGCGAGTGGCTGGGAGAGAGAGCGAGTGGCTGGGAGAGAGAGCGAGTGGCTGGGAGAGAGAGCGAGTGGCTGGGTGAGAGAGCGAGTGGCTGGGTGAGAGAGCGAGTGGCTGGGAGAGAGAGAGGGCGAGTGGCTGGGAGAGAGAGCGAGTGGCTGGGTGAGCGAGTGGCTGGGAGAGAGAGAGGGCGAGTGGCTGGGAGAGAGAGAGAGCGAGTGGTTGGGAGAGAGAGAGTGGCTGGGAGAGAGAGCGAGTGGCTGGGAGAGTGGGCGAGTGGCTGGGAGAGAGGGCGAGTGGCTGGGAGAGAGCGAGTGGCTGGGCCCCTCAGAAGGAAGGCAGCATGGAACGCATTTCCCCACGGAGTGGTCGGGACCCCAAAATGGGGCCCAAATTCCACGTTCTCATCACTGGGACCCAACTCGGCAGCAGCAGCAGCGCTCCCCACCCCCACGTGGCATCACCGCCGCACTGGAGCAGACTACCCCGCGCGACGGAGGCCGGCTACCCCCCCTACCCCCCCCAGCGGCGACGTTTTGACTACCACACCACCGCAGCACCCAGGTAACTCTCTCCCCCTGGGGGCACCCAGGATGGGTAACAAATAACCACGACTCTTGACGGGACCATCCCCTCGAGCGGGCTACTGGGCACCACACACACACACACACACAAAGACCCCCCCCCCCCCAACACCCCCACACAAAGACCCCCCCCCCCCAACACACACACACACAAAGACCCCCCCCCCAACACACACACACAATAAGACCCCCCCCCAACACACACACAAAAAGACCCCCCCCAACACACACACACAAAGACCCCCCCCAACACACACACACAAAGACCCCCCCCCAACACACACACACAAAGACCCCCCCCAACACACACACACACACACAAAGACCCCCCCCAACACACACACACACAAAAAGACCCCCCCCAACACACACACACACAAAAAGACCCCCCCCCCAACACACACACACAAAGACCCCCCCCCAACACACACACAAAGACCCCCCCCCACACACTGGTGGACGGGTCAAGGAGCCCCCCCCCCCGCCCCCCCCCCCCCCGCCCCCACCACTCACCCGTCGCGTCTCATCCTACGCGTGAGCTCGTCGCAGCGTCTCTTCGTCTCCACAAAGATGATCGTCTTGTTCTCCTTCTCGGCCATTATCTCCTCCATCAGGCGCATCAGCCTGGCGAGAGCGGGGGGGGGGGCGTCAGCGGGGGGGGGGGGGGGGGGGGGGGGGCGCCAGTGAGCAAATGTGCGAGCGATGCACGCGCGAGCGATGGGCGTGAAAATGAACGAGCGTGAGAGATGGAGAATGAGCGAATGTGTGAGCGTGGGCGAATTGAGTGTGAGAATGAGCGAATGTGTGAGCGTGGGAGAATGTGCGAGTGTGAGAATGAGCGAATGTGCGAGTGTGAGAATGAGCGAGTGTGTAAGCGTGAGAGAATGTGCGAGTGTGAGAATGAGCGAGTGTGCGAGCGTGAGAGCGTGAGCGAGTGTGCGAGCGTGAGAGAATGTGCGAGAGTGAGAATGAGCGAGTGTGCGAGAATGTGCGAGTGTGAGAATGAGCGAGTGTGCGAGCGTGAGAGAATGTGCGAGTGTGAGAGAATGTGTGAGAGTGAGAATGTGCGAGTGTGAGAATGAGCGAGTGTGCGAGCGTGAGAGCGTGAGCGAGTGTGTGAGCGTGGGAGAATGTGCGAGTGTGAGAGTGAGCGAATGTGCGAGAGTGAGTGAATGTGCGAGTGCGAGAGTGAGAGAATGTGCGAGTGTGAGAGATTGTGCGAGAGTGAGTGAATGTGCGAGTGTGAGCGTGAGCGAATGTGCGAGTGTGAGAATGAGCGAATGTGAGAATGTGCGAGTGTGGGCGAATGTGCGAGATGGAGAATGGGCGAATGTGTGAGCGTGAGCGAATGTGCGAGTGTGAGTGAATGTGCGAGATGGAGAATGGGCGTGTGTGCGAGTGTGAGTGAATGTGCGAGTGTGAGAATGAGCGAGTGTGAGAATGAGTGAATGTGCGAGTGTGAGAATGAGCGAATGTGCGAGTGTGAGAATGAGCGAATGTGCGAGTGTGAGTGAATGTGCGAGTGTGCGAATGAGTGAATGTGCGAGTGTGAGAATGAGCGAATGTCCGAGTGTGAGCGAATGTGCGAGTGTGAGTGAATGTGCGAGTGTGAGTGAATGTGCGAGTGTGAGAATGAGCGAATGTGCGAGTGTGAGAATGAGCGAATGTGCGAGTGTGAGTGAATGTGCGAGTGTGAGAATGAGTGAATGTGCGAGTGTGAGAATGAGCGAATGTGCGAGTGTGAGTGAATGTGCGAGCGTGAGAATGAGCCAATGTGTGAGTGTGAGAATGAGCGAATGTGCGAGTGTGAGTGAATGTGCGAGTGTGAGAATGAGCCAATGTGTGAGTGTGAGAATGAGCGAATGTGCGAGTGTGAGTGAATGTGCGAGTGTGAGAGAATGAGCGAATGTGCGAGTGTGAGAATGAGCGAATGTGCGAGTGCGAGTGTGAGAATGAGCGAATGTGCGAGTGTGAGTGAATGTGCGAGTGTGAGAGAATGAGCGAATGTGCGAGTGTGAGAATGAGCGAATGTGCGAGTGCGAGTGTGAGAATGAGCGAATGTGCGAGTGTGAGAGAATGTGCGAGTGTGAGCGAATGTGCGAGTGTGAGAATGAGCGAATGTGCGAGTGTGAGTGAATGTGCGAGTGTGAGAGAATGAGCGAGTGTGAGAATGAGCGAATGTGCGAGTGTGAGTGTGAGAATGAGCGAATGTGCGAGTGTGAGTGAATGTGCGAGTGTGAGAGAATGAGTGAATGTGCGAGTGTGAGTGTGAGAGAATGAGCGAATGTGCGAGAGTGAGCGAATGTGCGAGCGTGAGATTGACTGAATGTGTGAGTGCGAGCGTGAGAATGAGCGAATGTGTGAATGTGGCAAGTGTGAGAATGAGCGACTGTGTGAGAGTGTGCGAATGAGCGAGTGTGTGAGAGTGTGCGAGATTGAGCTGGTGTGTGTTGGCGTGCGAGTGTGAGCGAATGAGGCGAGTGTGAGAATGAGCGCGAGAATGAGTGAATGTGCGAGTGTGAGAATGAGCGAATGCGTGAATGCGCTAGTGTGAGAATGAGTGACTGTGTGAGTGTGTGCGAATGAGCGAGTGTGTGCGAGATTGAGCTGGTGTGTGTTGGCGTGCGATTGTGTGAGAATGAGGCGATTTAGAGAATGAGTGCGAGTGTGAGAATGAGGCGAGTGTGAGAATGAGTGCGAGTGTGAGAATGAGTGCGAGTGTGAGAATGAGGCGAGTGTGAGAATGAGTGCGAGTGTGAGAATGAGTGCGAGTGTGAGAATGAGTGACTGTGCGAGTGTGTGAATGAGTGTGTGAATGAGTGTGTGAGATTGAGCTGGTGTGTATTGGCGTGCGAGTGTGAGAATGAGTGTGAGAATGAGTGCGAGTGTGTGTGAATGTGCTAGTGCGATGGAGCAACTCCAACGGCACCCCTCCCCGCCCCCTCCGCTCACTTATTGTCCTTCTCGTTGTCACTGCACACGTCCACGATCTGCAGGATGTTGTGGTTGGCCGACAGGTCCATGGAGCCCACGTTGATCTGGATGTACTCGCGCAGGAAGTCCTCCGCCAACTGGCGCACCTCCTTGGGCCACGTGGCGCTCCACATGAGGGTCTGCCGGTCGGGCTGCAGAGCACCAGAGCACCCCCCGGAGGGCAAAGGTCAGCACCGCCCCCACCCACCACCACCAACACCGCCGCCACCCGTCAACGTCACCGTCACCGTCACCAACCCCCACCGCATTAACACACCGCTGGGATCACACCTCTGGCATGGCAAGTGCCGTGGGCTAGCGAGCAGCAGCGGCTGGGAGAGAGCGAGTGGCTGGGAGAGCGAGTGGCTGGGAGAGAGTGGCTGAGAGAGAGAGCGAGTGGCTGGGAGAGAGAGCGAGTGGCTGGGAGAGAGAGCGAGTGGCTGGGAGAGAGAGCGAGCGGCCGGGAGAGAGAGCGAGTGGCCGGGAGAGAGAGCGAGTGGCTGGGAGAGAGAGCGAGTGGCTGGGAGAAAGAGCGAGTGGCTGGGAGAGAGAGCGAGCGGCCGGGAGAGAGAGCGAGTGGCTGGGAGAGAGAGCGAGCGGCTGGGTGAGAGAGCGAGTGGCTGGGAGAGAGAGCGAGCGGCCGGGAGAGAGAGCGAGTGGCTGGGAGAGAGAGCGAGCGGCTGGGAGAGAGAGGGAGTGGCTGGGAGAGAGAGAGCGAGTGGCTGGGAGAGAGAGCGAGTGGCTGGGTGAGAGAGCGAGTGGCTGGGTGAGAGGACGAGTGGCTGGGAGAGAGAGCGAGTGGCTGGGAGAGAGAGCGAGTGGCTGGGAGAGAGAGCGAGTGGCTGGGTGAGAGAGAGAGCGAGCGGCCGGGAGAGAGCGAGTGGCTGGGAGAGAGAGCGAGTGGCTGGGAGAGAGAGCGAGTGGCTGGGAGAGAGAGCGAGTGGCTGGGAGAGAGAGCGAGTGGCTGGGAGAGAGAGCGAGTGGCCGGGAGAGAGAGCGAGTGGCCGGGAGAGAGAGCGAGTGGCCGGGAGAGAGAGCGAGTGGCCGGGAGAGAGAGCGAGTGGCTGGGAGAGAGAGCGAGTGGCTGGGAGAGCGAGCGAGTGGCTGGGAGAGAGAGCGAGTGGCTGGGAGAGAGCGAGTGGCTGGGTGAGAGAGCGAGTGGCTGGGTGAGAGGACGAGTGGCTGGGAGAGAGAGCGAGTGGCTGGGAGAGAGAGCGAGTGGCTGGGAGAGAGAGCGAGTGGCTGGGAGAGAGAGCGAGTGGCTGGGTGAGAGAGAGAGCGAGCGGCCGGGAGAGAGCGAGTGGCTGGGAGAGAGAGCGAGTGGCTGGGAGAGAGAGCGAGTGGCTGGGAGAGAGAGCGAGTGGCTGGGAGAGAGAGCGAGTGGCTGGGAGAGAGAGCGAGTGGCTGGGAGAGAGAGCGAGTGGCTGGGAGAGAGAGCGAGTGGCTGGGTGAGAGGACGAGTGGCTGGGAGAGAGAGCGAGTGGCTGGGAGAGAGAGCGAGTGGCTGGGAGAGAGCGAGTGGCTGGGAGAGAGAGCGAGCGGCTGGGCCCCTCAGAAGGAAGGCAGCATGGAACGGATTCCCCACGGAGTGGTCGGGACCCCAAAATGGGGCCCAAATTCCACGTTCTCATCACTGGGACCCAACTCTGCAGCAGCAGCGCAGTACACGTGTACGTACTGGCGTGTACGTACTGGCGTGTACGTACTGGCGTGTACGTACTGGCGTGTACGCGTGCACTGCTACACGTACACGCCAGTACGTACACGTGTACGTACTGGCGTGTACACGTGCCCACGTTGGTACGTGTGGTCGTGCGTTGCTACGTGTGGGGCGTGAACGTACCTGCACGCGTTGCGTGCGTGCGTTGCTACACACGGTTACGTGCGTGTGTGTGTGTGCGTGTGTGTGTTGTGTGTGCGTGTGTGCGTGCGTGCGTGCGTACCGGTACTACGCGTGTGGCAGTGCACTCGGGTACGTGTGCGTGTGTGTAGGTGTACGCGTGTGTGTGCGTGTGTGTGCGTGTTGTGTGTGTGTGTTGTGTGTGTTGTGTGTGTGCGTGTGTGTGCGTGTGTGTGCGTGTGTGTGCGTGTGTGTGCGTGTGTGTGCGTGTGTGTGTGTTGTGTGTGCGCGTGTGTGTGGCAGTGTGTGCGTGTAGGTGTACGCGTGTACGCGCAGGTACCCGGATCTGGTCGACAATCTTGCGTATCTGCGGCTCGAAGCCCATGTCAAGCATGCGGTCGGCCTCGTCCAGCACCAGGTAGGTGCAGCGGCGCAGGTTCGTCTTGCCCGACTCCAGGAAGTCGATCAGGCGGCCCGGGGTGGCGATGCAGATCTCCACGCCTAACGACGACCGTCAACAGCAGCGGCGGCGACCGTCAACGGCCGACGCAAGAGGGGTGTGTGTGTGTGTGTGTTGGTGTGTATCTGTGTGTGTGTGTTGGTGTGTATCTGTGTGTGTTGGTGTGTATCTGTGTGTGTGTGTTGGTGTGTATCTGTGTGTGTTGGTGTGTTGGTGTGTATCTGTGTGTGTGTGTTGGTGTGTATCTGTGTGTGTGTGTTGGTGTGTATCTGTGTGTGTGTGTTGGTGTGTATCTGTGTGTGTGTTGGTGTGTATCTGTGTGTGTGTTGGTGTGTATCTCTGCGTGTGTGTTGGTGTGTATCTCTGCATGTGTGTGCGTGTGTATCTCTGCGTGTGTGTTGGTGTGTATCTCTGCGTGTGTGTTGGTGTGTATCTCTGCGTGTGTGTTGGTGTGTATCTCTGCGTGTGTGTTGGTGTGTATCTCTGTGTGTGTTGGTGTGTATCTGTGTGTGTGTGTTGGTGTGTATCTGTGTGTGTGTGTATCTGTATCTGTGTGTTGGTGTGTATCTGTGTGTGTGTTGGTGTGTATCTGTGTGTGTGTGTTGGTGTGTATCTGTGTGTGTGTGTTGGTGTGTATCTGTGTTGGTGTGTATCTGTGTGTGTGTTGGTGTGTATCTGTGTGTGTGTTGGTGTATCTCTGCGTGTGTGTTGGTGTGTATCTCTGTGTGTGTTGGTGTGTATCTGTGTGTGTGTTGGTGTGTATCTGTGTGTGTTGGTGTGTATCTCTGTGTGTGTGTGTTGGTGTGTATCTCTGTGTGTGTGTGTTGGTGTGTATCTGTGTGTGTTTTGGTGTGTATCTGTGTGTTGGTGTGTATCTGTGTGTGTGTGTTGGTGTGCATCTCCGTGTGTGTGTTGGTGTGTATCTCTGCATGTGTGTGTGTTGGTGTGTATCTGCGTGTGTGTGTTGGTGTGTATCTCTGCATGCGTGTGTTGGTGTGTATCTCTCCATGTGTGTGTGTATCTCTGTGTGTGTTGGTGTATCTCTGTGTGTCGGTGTATCTCTGTGTGTGCTGCTGTATCTCTGCATGTGTGTGTGTGTGTGTTGGTGAATCTCTGCATGTGTGTGTGTGTGTGTTGGTGTGTATATCTGCGCGTGTGTGTGTGTTGGTGTGTATCTCTGCGTGTGTGCTGCTGTATCTCTGCACGTGTGTGTGTTGGTGAATCTCCGCGTGTGTGTGTGTGCGTGTACGCACGTGCGTCTCCGTGAACCTCCGTGTGTGTGCGCGTGCGTGCGCGTCCCTGACCTCTCTCCAGGTCCCGCAGCTGGGGCCCCTTGGGCGCCCCGCCATACACGCACGTGGTCTTGACGCGGGAGCTCTTGCCGTACTCCTCGGCGACGGCCTGCACCTGCTGCGCCAGCTCGCGAGTGGGAGCCAGCACCAGCACCTGGTGCACGGCGACACGGGGGGGGGGGGGGGGGGGGGGGGGGGGGGGGGGGGGGGGGGGGGGGGGGGTGGGGGGCCCCCTCACGGGGTCAGAGTCGTGACGTCACCGCCACACCCGGTAGCGGCGACGGATGCCGGTTGTTTGTTTGCTTGTTTGTTTGTTTGCTTGTGCGCGTGTGCGAGTGCGTGACTCACGATTGGGCCGTCTCCACGCTCCAGGAAGGGCTGGTGGTTGATGTGAACAACCGCTGGCAGCAGATACTACACACGCACACACGCACACAGCAACAACAACAATAAAGATTCCCCCCCCCCCCCCAAGCCCCGTGCGGACTTTCAGCAAAACTGCGGGGGAGGGGTAAGGTGCAGACGTTAGCGAGGCCAGCATCGGGTACTCATTCGGCCAGCATCGGGTACTCATTCGGCCAGCATCGGGTACTCATTCGGCCAGCATCGGGTACTCATGCGGCCAGCATCGGGTACTCATTCGGCCAGCATCGGGTACTCATTCGGCCAGCATCGGGTACTCATGCGGCCAGCATCGGGTACTCATGCGGCCAGCATCGGGTACTCATTCGGCCAGCATCGGGTACTCATTCGGCCAGCATCGGGTACTCATGCGGCCAGCATCGGGTACTCATGCGGCCAGCATCGGGTACTCATTCGGCCAGCATCGGGTACTCATTCGGCCAGCATCGGGTACTCATTCGGCCAGCATCGGGTACTCATTCGGCCAGCATCGGGTACTCATTCGAGGCCGAGTCGACCTGGGGGAGGACCGGAACCGGCTCGGGCAATCGTCGCCGATGCTGGGCGAGAGCCGGAGCCGAAAGCTCGGGGCAGCCGGGTTTCGCAGGCGCAGCGTTGCAACCGGAAAATCGGAATTCGCACCGCAGGCGAAAACCCGACGGAGCTATGAAAGCGATTTTTCACTCGTGTACGTATCTATATATGTACGTGTGTGTGTGCGGTGCCGGGAATTCACCCGGACGACGACCGCCTCTTTTTCCGCCGTAACTTTTTATTCCATCGTTCCGTACACGCAGAGAGCGGTTCTCTCCTCCGTGCTCCGCCAACTCGGACACTCAGATTTACTTCGGCATCGTCCGTGCATCCCCTTCCGCACACAGTGACTTCCCTTCCACACACACAGTGGTCCGTCTTCTATCTCCTCACACACACAGTATCGCCGCCATCTCTTCACACGCAGTGACTACCCTTCCACACGCAGTGGTCCGTCTTCTATCTCCTCACACACAGTATCGCCGCCATCTCTTCACACGCAGTGACTTCCCTTCCACACACAGTGGTCCGTCTTGTCTCCTCACACACGGTATCGCCGCCATCTCTTCATACGCAGTGACTTCCCTTCCACACAGTGGTCCGTCTTCTATCTCCTCGCACACACACAGTCTCGCCGCTATCTCTTCACACGCAGTGACTTCCCTTCCACAGTGGTCCGTCTTCTATCTCCTCACACAGTATCGCCGCCATCTCTTCACACGCAGTGACTTCCCTTCCACACACAGTGGTCCGTCTTCTATCTCCTCACACACAGTATCGCCGCCATCTCTTCACACGCAGTGACTTCCCTTCCACACACAGTGGTCCGTCTTCTATCTCCTCACACACAGTATCGCCGCTATCTCTTCACACGCAGTGACTTCCCTTCCACACACAGTGGTCCGTCTTCTATCTCCTCACACACGCACAGTATCGCCGCCATCTCTTCACACGCAGTGACTTCCCTTCCACACACAGTGGTCCGTCTTCTATCTCCTCACACACAGTATCGCCGCCATCTCTTCACACGCAGTGACTTCCCTTCCACACACAGTGGTCCGTCCTCTATCTCCTCACACACAGTATCGCCGCTATCTCTTCACACGCAGTGACTTCCCTTCCACACACAGTGGTCCGTCTTCCATCTCCTCACACACACGGTATCGCCGCTATCTCTTCACATGCAGTGACTTCCCTTCCACACACAGTGGTCCATCTTCTATCTCCTTACACACACACGGTATCGCCGCTATCTCTTCACACGCAGTGACTACCCTTCCACACGCAGTGACTACCCTTCCACACACAGTGGTCCGTCTTCTATCTCCTCACACACACAGTATCGCCGCCATCTCTTCACACACAGTGACTTCCCTTCCACACACACAGTGGTCCGTCTTCTATCTCCTCACACACACAGTATCGCCGCCATCTCTTCACACACAGCGACTATCTATCTCCGCTAACGCCGACTCTCCATCTATTCTTCCCCAACATTTCCAAGCTGTCTTCCTCCGCATCTCTTCACCTCTCGCCAACAGCTGCCCAGCAACAACTCTCCAACAGCAACTCCCCTCCGTTCAAGCCACCCACGCGTCTTATCCCCTCTCGCATTGGCCTCAATTGATTGCCACGTGGCTCGCTGGCCGTTTCCCACCAGCCCGCACCTGTCCCCCCCCCTTCCCTCAGACATCCAGACGCCACCACTTAACGCCAACGGCCTCTCGACCAATCGCAGCCCTCGTGCCACGACTCCCTTAATTTAAATTTTGATTTAAAGCTTTCGTGACTGCAGTAATTCATATTCTTAGTTTTTTTTCGGTAAAGTCACGTTGAAGAGAAACAACAAAATAATAAAATATATATATAAAACAATAAAAAAATTCTCACGACGTTTCGACCATAACTCAAACGGTCATCTTCAGGTGTGTTGGTTTGCATAAATTTATGTTTAAACGGCGCATTTATTTATTTATAAAAAAAAACTTTAGCGTTTTTGGACTGATCCTGGGTAAACTGCCAAATCGCTGCGCGTGACGCTAACGTTTTTTATAAATAAATAAATGCGCCGTTTAAAAATAAATTTATGCAAACCGACACACCTGAAGATGACCGTTTGAGTTATGGGCGAAACGTCGTGAGAATTTTTTTTATTGTTTTATATATATTTCATTATTTTGTTGTTTCTCTTCAACGTGACTTTACCGAAAAAAGTAAGAATATCCCTTAATTTACTTTGGGTTGTGTTTACGCCACTCGCGACTCGACCAACCTGTTCGACCTCGTGTGACCCCGTTCCTCCTTGTCGTCTGTCTGTATGTATGTAACTGTATATGGCCAATTCCCATGCGCATTATTTACTCCACTGCATCTATATATATATTTTTAAAAAACCTGTACAGGAAAAAAAACCTTGGATCGCGAGCACAATTCGTTCCGGAAACGGTGCGTCTTGTCATCCGAGGCAGACGAAGTGTCTGCCAACTTCAACTACCCGTACTGCAAGAACCCTCTCTCGCTCGTTTTAGCAAGTTAATATTTATTTTTTTAAACAAAAAAAAATTGCCCGTCTTGCAAAACACTCGCAGACCCAAGGTTTTAACCGGATTTATTTTACTCTTACCAATGAAGGCCCACCAAGCCACGTAGCTTCTTTTTTCAGAAGCGACATGCCCATTCACAAAACGATAAGCGAGGCTTTTGCCACCAAGTGGACATTCACGGCAGCAAAATTATTCCATTGCACGATTCTAAAATGCGGGGGGTTACACGCACACACGCACGAGTAACACGCGGAGCGGAGCGAGCGAGCTCACCGATAGGGTCTTGCCCGACCCCGTCTTGGCAATGCCGACCATGTCCCTGCCGCTCAGGGCCAGGGGCCAGCCCTGCGCCTGGATGGGAGTCGGCTCCTTGAAGTTCTGGGACTCGATCACGTTCATCACGTAGGCTGCGGGCGCACGCGCAGGCACGCACACGGCATCAATCACGCGCTCGCGCTGCTAGCCAGCACACAGACGCGTACAGACAGGGGGGCGAGCGGCGGCGGGGGGAGCGAGTGGTGGCGAGGGGAGAGAGTGGAAGTGAGGAGCGAGCGGTGAGTGAGCTGAGCGAGCGGCGGTGAGGGGAGCGAGCGGCGGTGAGGGGAGTGAGGTGAGGTGAGTGAGGTGAGGTGAGTGAGGTGAGGGGAGTGAGGTGAGGGGAGTGAGGTGAGGGGAGTGAGGTGAGGGGAGTGAGGTGAGGGGAGTGAGGTGAGGGGAGTGAGGTGAGGGGAGCGAGCGGTGGCGAGGGGAGTGAGGTGAGGTGAGTGAGGTGAGGTGAGTGAGGTGAGGGGAGTGAGGTGAGGTGAGTGAGGTGAGGTGAGTGAGCGGCGGCGAGGGGAGTGAGGTGAGTGAGCGGCGGTGAGGGGAGCGAGTGGCAGTGAGGGGAGTGAGGTGAGAAGAGCGAGCGGCAGTGAGGGGAGCGAGCGGCGGCGAGGGGAGCGAGCGACAGTGAGGAGTGAGCGACAGTGAGGAGCGGCGTACAGGGGAAGTCGGCCTCGTGGAAGTGGAACACCGGCTTGGGGCAGGTGGTCCCCTTGATCTTAATCTCCTTGTGCATGCGGAACTCTTCCACCTCCCTCTGCGCACGCGCACAGCAGCGGCAAACACGAGGGGTTAGGGTTATTTTGGTGCGAGTGTACGTGGCGTGCCGTGCCGGGTGTACGTGGCTGGCCGTGCCGTGCCAGGTGTACGTGGCTGGCCGTGCCAGGTGTACGTGGCTGGCCGTGCCGTGCCAGGTGTACGTGGCTGGCCGTGCCGTGCCAGGTGTACGTGGCTGGCCGTGCCGTGCCAGGTGTACGTGGCTGGCCGTGCCGTGCCGGGTGTACGTGGCTGGCCGTGCCGTGCCGGGTGTACGTGGCTGGCCGTGCCGTGCCAGGTGTACGTGGCTGGCCGTGCCAGGTGTACGTGGCTGGCCGTGCCGTGCCAGGTGTACGTGGCTGGCCGTGCCGTGCGAGTGTACGTGGCTGGCCGTGCGAGTGTACGTGGTGTGGCGTGCGAGTGTACGTGGCTGGCCGTGCCGGGTGTACGTGGCTGGCCGTGCCGTGCGAGTGTACGTGGCTGGCCGTGCGAGTGTACGTGGCTGGCCGTGCCGTGCCAGGTGTACGTGGCTGGCCGTGCCGTGCCAGGTGTACGTGGCTGGCCGTGCCGTGCGAGTGTACGTGGCGTGCCGTGCGAGTGTACGTGCCGTGCCGGGTGTACGTGGCTGGCCGTGCCGTGCGAGTGCACGTGCACGTGCGAGTGCAACGCTCACGGATGGCCGGCGCAGCACGTCGGGGTGCTCCTTGTAGAAGTTCTTCTCGAACTTGGGCAGCTTGGCGAGGTCCCACTTCACCTTGCGCAGCCGCTCGCCCGGCTGCCCGAACTTGCGCAAGCCCCCGCCGAACGAGCCGCCCCCGCCCCCGCCCCCGCCGCCCCCGCCAAACCGCGAGCTCGAGCTGCCGCCATATCTGCGGGGGGGGGGGGGGGGGGGGGGGGGGGGGGGGGGGGCCACGCGCAGCGGCCGAGGGAGCCGTCACAACAAGCTCTTCGTGGGGGGCCCTCTGAGTTACAATCAGGATATTTATTCATCGTGGAGGAATCCGATAAGACGTAAAGCCCTTTCACCCGTCCGCACACGACAGAGCGTTTAGCGCCGTGGTTTCGACCAGGGCCCGGCCCGGTGCACCCAAACGGGACGTGCGTGTGTGTGTGTGCGTGCGAGAGAGAGAAACGGGGGAGATGCAAAAGAGCTTCACACAAGGCAATTCTAGATTTAAGATTTCGCTCCAGCGCTGTCCCTCCAGACCAGTCTCGTCCCTTCACCTGATGAAGGCTGCTTGTATTTAAATGTTGATTTAAAGCTTTCGTGACTGCAGTAATTCATATTCTTAGTTTTTTTTCGGTAAAGTCACGTTGAAGAGAAACAACAAAATAATAACATATATACAAAACAATAAAAAAAATTCTCACGACGTTTCGACCATAACTCAAACGGTCATCTTCAGGTGACAAGGCTGCTCGTGTTGTGGCCGAAACGTCGTGAGAATTTTGTCATTTTATTTTTTTACCTACGAGACTTTACCCAACAGAACCCAAAGAGTTAAGCTTCACAGCTCTTGGGATTCATCGTAGTTTTAAAAAAACCATTAAAGAAATCCCATCTCCAGTGACGACACGACTCCGTGACGTCACGTCGGGGGGGGGGGAGGAGTCAGGTGTGGGGGGTGGGTGGGGGAGCAGTGACGGCACGGAGCAGGCGACGTCACACGTCGGGGAGCATTGACGTCACGTCAGGGAAATAGACTCCGCCCATTTCCGGCCGCTCCTAACCCCCCCCCCCGCCCACAACCCCCCCACCCCACCGGAAGTCCCGTGGCGCGTTTCCAAGGGAACCGGCCGCTTATATAACATTCTCCTTTCTGTCGCTACAAACTATTTAAATCACGTCGTTGTTTTAAGAGCAAACGTCAGGGGAACGATTTCTTTAGACACGTAAATACACGTTTAACAAAAAATAACGATCCATCTTATTTTTTTGGCGTGTCTTGTTACGAGGCGGGTACATCATTGCCACGAACCAGAGTGGTGAAGTATGGTCAAAAAGACACCACCACCACCACCCCTCCCCCCTCTCTCACTCACTCTCTCTCCCGCGTAGCCTGTAACAGACTGGCGGGGCACGTGCTCTTAGCGAGCGGCACCCTATGGAAATACCGGTGGGGGGTGTGACCAACACACCCACGCCCGGCCGCCTTTGTCTCTCCACCCTCAGGTTGGCGACGTTTTTTTTACCGCGACTACACCAGGCAACTCACTCGAGGCCGAGTCGACCTAGGGGGAGGCCCGGTCCGCGAGCAGCATGGTCAAAGCACACACCCCCACATAACACTACAACGATTCTATCCAGCAGTGGATCATTCCTCGTCAAGTTTATCGTCGTGAGGATGAGGGTAGCCACCCCTCAAATAATCATTCAGAGCCATCCAGCAGCGGATAGAAACTCCCTTTGGACACCCACCCCCTCCCCCCCCAATAACACAATATACATCGTGTCACACAAACTATTCCTAAATAAACTTACAAAGAAAACCCACACACACAAACGCTTCTAAATTCACCGATTACAATATGGAGTCACCCTCCCGGCAAGTTATATTTTTACACGCACCACACATTAATTCTAGATTTCAATCTTTCGCGACTGCAAGGACCCATATAACTCTTTGGTTCCATTCGGTAAAAGTTACGTGGGTACTTTTACCGAGAGTCCGGTCCCTTCACCCGACGAAGGCCGCTTGTGTTGTGGCCGAAACGTCGTGATTTTTTGTCGTTTTAATTTTTTTTTACCTACTTGACTTTACCGAACAGAACCAAAGAGAATTATAACCACACATTAAAAAAAAATTCTTTCTAAAAACACCACTAACACTTTTTTTCCTCTCTCTACACATTTTAACATTACCCCCCACTTAAATTTAAAATCTGCGCGATAGCACGATTGACTATTTTAACAACTTTTGTTAAAGTCTGAAGAGGAGGAGGTGAGGGGTGGTGGTTTAGAAAGCCGGCTATTAGAACCGGCTTTCTTGACCACGTGCCGCGCGCTAAAAACCCCACACAAGATAACTATTTAAAAAAAACGTTTAAGGACTTTTTTTTAAAACGTTTGACAAACATCTCACAACGACCCGCACTCCACCTGTAACATTAAACATTTGTAATATTTTAAGATAAAGCTCTTAAGCATCAATTAATTATTTCTAGGAAAGCCGCGGGCTTCACAGTTTCGGCCGTGGGCCTAACCACGCGTTACCCGGCCTTGTTACGTAAAGAACACACTTTTAAAAATGTAACGACACTTTAAGCAATATTATAATCGGCAGCAGATAAACATCATCATACATCGAGCGGATATTGTCGATACCACTGCAGGATGAATGTCTAAAAGACACACAAAATTATATCTTAGCGGCTGTTAGCGGTTCGATTTAAATGACGTGATTGTAACTTCTTGTAACATCTCTACGAAAATCAACACCAACATAATTATTATTATTATTTGCACAACCTTACATTTGTACAATCGCTCTCTGTTAAGATGATTAAATAGTCGTGACCTATCCCCCGGACTGCCGTTACGTAACCGTTCTCTGTACGTGAACAGGTGACGGTTTAAAAACAAAACAACAAAAAAAAAGGACTTAACGATTGTACAACGCACAAGTTATGAATATAATAAACATTACATCGTCACAAACGCACAAAAAACACACACAACCCCGCCATAGGGTTAACAATAACCTCCCCACCCTTACACCACAAACTCCTCACGCAATTTTTTTTTAAAATTCTCTCCAAATCGTCGGAACTCTTTAACCTCGCCACCTTCCCCCCCCCGCTTAACCACCCCACCGCCGCCGCCGGCAAGACAAAGACACCCCGACTAAATAGAGTTTTGTAAAAAAAAAATTTACAAATTCACCAAGAAAAAAAATCTTGAATTGATGCGTTCGTGACTGCAGGGAATATTCTTTCGGCAAAGTCACGTAGTTAAGATTTTTTTTTAAATAAAAACAAATATTTTTTTCGAACTACGCGACTTTACCGAAAGAACCAAACAGGTATATGTATATATATATTTTTTAAAAAAATGTTTTAACAAAATTTTTTTTTATATCGGTGACGGCATCCATTTAACGATTAAAAAAAACAAAGATGGCGGCCGCGCGCCATTGTTCGTTCAATGGCGGGAGGCCGCGGCGAGGCAAATCGACCGGCGGCGATGGGGAAAATTCCACCCTAACGTTTCGCGCGAGGGTCAAAGTCCCTCGCGAACGACATTTCTGACGGAAAACCACGCACGGCGCTTCCGACCGTGCCACCCGTTTTAATTTTTACAGCTAAAAAAAAAAACACAAATTATTTTTTCCCTTTCATCTTTACATATTAACATTTTTTTTTTAAAAGGCGGGGTTCGCGGTTTCCTCACCCTCCTCCGCGATCGCGCGAGCGATCTCTATCGCTCGAGTACCCAGGCATGGCGTAGTTGTTTGCTTGGGTTAGGTGGAAGTCGAGGTCGCTTTACGTTGTTGTATGCCGCTGGTGGCGGCGATGGAGGACGAGGGAGGAAGGAAGGCGGGAAGGCGAATCACGCCAAGAAGCCGGCCGGCAAGATCCCTCCGCCGCAGAAGAGCGAACCCCCCAAAAAAAAAATTCCCGCTCGCTTTGTTTTAAATAAAGATTATTTTTTTCTCCTGTCTCTCTAAAAAAAATACGTGTTTAAAGTTAACGCGGTGGTGTAGATTTTTTTTTAGTTAAATTAAATAACTTAATCCGTAATTATGAGTTTGTTAAAGAAGACTTTTTTTTTACTTAAACGCCAACAAAAAAAATCCTCCCCTCCCCCCGTTCCTTAGAACTCTCCGCGGCGGCACTCGTTCTTGACGGCGGATGAATTTGTTCCCTCGCGCTCTCGACTGTTGTTGTTGCTGGAGGAGGGGGGCGAGACGAGGCGGTGATGCGGTCCGGCGGCGGATGTTGAAGAGCGGAGCGAGCGCGAGGACCCGGACTGAAGTGAGGGAGCTCGTGCACGCGTCACGTGGCTATTATAGTGGGGGGGCCCCCTCCCCTCCCCCTTCTTCCCCCATTGCCTCCCTCCCCCCATCTGGCTCCTCCCCCCCAAACTCTGGCTCCTCCCTCCTCTCTGGCTCCTCCTCCCTATGGACCCTCCCCTCTTCTTCCCCCTCCCCCCCCACTTCTCCCTCCCGCCGCGTCATCCCCCCCCCCCTCATCATCCCATCCCCCCTCTACCCCTCCCCCCTCTTTCTCTCCCCCCCCCCTTTAGCCCCTCCCCCGCTAATCCCCAACCCCCCCCCCTCAATGAGCGACGTCATCATCGCGCCACGCCCACTCACTCCCCCCCCCACCCGGCCCCCTCCCCTTAACCTGTGACGTCACCACCGAGCCCGGCCCGCTCCCCGTTGGCCCGTGACGTCAGCACCGTTGCCCGCCCCCCCGCCCCCCCTCGCTTTACCCGTGACGTCAATGCTAGATCCCCCGCCCCCTCACCCCCCCTCGTTCGGTGACGTCACTGCCCAAGCCCCCTCCCTTACCCCGCCCCCCCTCGCGCCAGGTCCACGTCGGAGCACGTGACGCCCTCTGACGTCATCGCGCTATGATTCTTAGGCTTCTAACGCGTGGTCCGGTCAAAGTGATATTAATTACTCAATGGTTCTATTCGGTAAAGCCGCGTAGGTAAAAATAAAATTAAAACAACAACAACAAAAATCACGACGTTTCGGCCCTTCGCCAGGTGAAGGGACCAGCGCTGTCTCGAAGACTGCGCTGAAGTGAAACACTTAAAGGCCGCTCAGACCGCGGCCTTTAAGCTGTGTGAGGAGGGATTAAGGTGCCTTAACTAAAGGAATAAGCGTTTAAAAAAAAATTAGCTATTTAATTGGCGGACTTAGCATGATGAGAGATGTAGAGAGGGTGAACATTCGGGTGCACATGCACAGGAAAGTTTTGGGGTATCACTACTACTTGCAAAAAAAATATATACTGTACCATTGAAAATTAGTTTAATGTTTTCGTTCGATTTAGAACATCTCATGAATCTTATGAATTACTGCAATTCATATTCTTAGCTCTTTCGGTAAAGTCACGTTGAAAGGGAAACAATAAAAAATTTGGAGGGTTAAGAATCCACCCATTTTTTTCGTTGCCATATAGCATCGTGATATATAACGACTTATTGTTGGTAGCTCAGCTGATTGGAGAATATATAGAGTTTATTGATAACATTGAGGTAGTTTAGATTTTAGTTTGTTTTATCTGTTTACTATGTGGTATTCATTAGATAGTGTAGTGTATACCCAGTTGCTGTTAATAGCTCTGCTTATTGAAGAATATATTGAGTACATTTATTGGAGAATATATAGAGTTTATTGATAACATTGAGTTGGTTTATATTTTAGTTTTTTAATCTGTTTACTATGTGGTATTCATTAGATAGTGTAGTGTATACCCAGTTGCTGTTAATAGCTCTGCTTATTGAAGAATATATAGAGTACATTTATTGGAGAATATATAGAGTTTATTGATAACATTGAGGTGGTTTATATTTTAGTAGTTTTATCTGTTTACTATGTGGTATTCATTAGATAGTGTAGTGTATACCCAGTTGCTGTTAATAGCTCTGCTTATTGAAGAATATATTGAGTACATTTATTGGAGAATATATAGAGTTTATTGATAACATTGAGGTAGTTTAGATTTTAGTTTGTTTTATCTGTTTACTATGTGGTATTCATTAGATAGTGTAGTGTATACCCAGTTGCTCTTAATAGCTCTGCTTATTGAAGAATATATAGAGTACATTTATTGGAGAATATATAGAGTTTATTGATAACATTGAGGTAGTTTATATTTTAGTTTGTTTTATCTGATTACTATGTGGTATTCATTAGATAGTGTAATGTATACCCAGTTGCTCTTAATAGCTCTGCTTATTGAAGAATATATAGAGTACATTTATTGGAGAATATATAGAGTTTATTGATAACATTGAGGTAGTTTATATTTTAGTAGTTTTATCTGTTTACTATGTGGTATTCATTAGATAGTGTAGTGTATACCCAGTTGCTGTTAATAGCTCTGCTTATTGAAGAATATATAGAGTACATTTATTGGAGAATATATAGAGTTTATTGATAACATTGAGGTGGTTTATATTTTAGTTTGTTTTATCTGTTTACTATGTGGTATTCATTAGATAGTGTAGTGTATACCCAGTTGCTGTTAATAGCTCTGCTTATTGAAGAATATATAGAGTACATTTATTGGAGAATATATAGAGTTTATTGATAACATTGAGGTAGTTTAGATTTTAGTTTGTTTTATCTGTTTACTATGTGGTATTCATTAGATAGTGTAGTGTATACCCAGTTGCTCTTAATAGCTCTGCTTATTGAAGAATATATAGAGTACATTTATTGGAGAATATATAGAGTTTATTGATAACATTGAGGTAGTTTATATTTTAGTTTGTTTTATCTGATTACTATGTGGTATTCATTAGATAGTGTAATGTATACCCAGTTGCTCTTAATAGCTCTGCTTATTGAAGAATATATAGAGTACATTTATTGGAGAATATATAGAGTACATATATTGGAGAATATATAGAGTTTATTGATAACTTTCGATTTAAAGCTTTCGTGACTGCAAGGATTCATCTTCTTTGGTTCTTTCGGTAAAGTCACCACCACCACGTAGAATGAGAATAAAATAATAAATTGATAAAATAAAATAACGAGACAATATTCTCACGACGTTTCGGCCACAACACAAGCGGCCTTCCATGAGGTGAAGGGGACGAGACTGTCTGGAGGACAGCGCTGGAGTGAAAAAGCCACGCTCAGATCACGACCTTTAAGCTGTGTGAGAAGAAACAAAGCGCCTTGACAAAGGTGATGACTTTTGATTTAAAGCTTTCGTGACTGCAGTAATTCATATTCTTAGTTTTTTCGGTAAAGTCACGTTGAAGAGAAACAACAAAATAATAAAATATGTATAAAACAATTGTTCACGCTTACAGTGGCTTTCAGACAGCATACATTATAAAAAATTTCGTCTCCCCCCTCCTCTTTTCAAAATATAGATGGACTAGTCCTGGGCAAACTGCCAAATCGCTGCGCGTGACGCTAACGTTTTTATAAATAAATAAATGCGCCGTTTAAAAATAAATTTATGCGAACCAACACACCTGAAGATGACCGTTTGAGTTATGGTCGAAACGTCGTGAGAATTTTTTTTATTGTTTGATATATATTTTATTATTTTGTTGTTTCTCTTCAACGTGACTTTACCGAAAAAACTAAGAATATAAAACCTTCAGACCGCAGCTCTTTCGCTGGCATTGACTCTTAATACCTCTCACACCACGGTTAATGGTATGGTTTTACAACGTGGAGTGTAACAGCGCATCCACAGCTGTCTCTCTCCTCCCTCCTCCGTTCCGACCATGGATGAACTCGTCCGTCTGAACGGGGCCCGTAGCTGTCCGTGGTGCTGAAGTTGAGGGTAAGAATCCACCCATTTTTTTCGCCATATAGCATTGTGATATATAACGACTTATTGTTGGTAGCTTAGCTGATTGGTGAATATATAGAGTTTATTGATAACATTGAGGTAATTTATATTTTAGTTTTTTTAATTGGTTCACTATATAGTAATTCATTATATATTGTAGTGTATACCCAGTTACTGTGAATAGCTCAGATGTGTAGGCCTTGACTTCAACATAGCCATTTCTGTGACCAGTCACAAGCTAATCACTCAGTTATTTCAATGCTAAATTCGCCTAGTTATTTCAATGCTAAATTCTCCTGTTTGATTTGTACTAGGTGCCTCTGTAAATGTGTATGCTCTGACTTTAACATAGCTATTTCTGTGACCAGTTACAAGCTAATCACTCAGCTATTTCAATGCTAAATTCTATGCTAATTCCTTTGTCAAGGGGTGCCTCTGCGGATGTGTATGCTTTAACTTTAACATAGCCATTTCTGTGACCAGTCACAAGCTAATCACTCAGCCATTTCAATGCTAAATTATATGTTAATTCCTTTGTCAAGGCGCTTTGTTTCTTCTCACACAGCTTAAAGGTCGCGATCTGAGCGTGGCTTTTTCACTCCAGCGCTGTCCTCCAGACAGTCTTGTCCCTTCACCTGATGAAGGCCGCTTGCGTTGTGGCCGAAACGTCGTGAGAATATTATTGTGTTATTTTATTTTATCAATTTATTATTTTATTCTCATTGTACGTGGTGACTTTACCGAAAGAACCAAAGAAGATTTATTGATAACATTGAGGTAGTTTATATTTTAGTTTTTTTTAATCTGTTTACTATATGGTATTCACTATACAGTGTAGTGTATACCCAGTTGCTGTTAATAGCTCTGCTTATTGAAGAATATATTGAGTACATTTATTATATTGATGTAATTTAGAATTAGTTTTTTTCACATCGGTTTACTGTATGATAGTTTGAGTTGTTGCAGTCCCCTTTGGCGTCCATGTACCAGGTGCCTCTGTGGATGTGTAGGCTTTGACTTTAACACAGCTATTTCTGTGACCAGTCACAAGCTAATCACTCAGCTATTTCAATGCTAAATTCTCCCGTTTGATTTGTACCAGGTGCCTCTGTGGATGTGTAGGCTTTGACTTTAACACAGCTATTTCTGTGACCAGTCACAAGCTAATCACTCAGCTGTTTCAATGCTAAATTCTCCCGTTTGATTTGTACCAGGTTTCTCTGTGGATGTGTAGGCTTTGACTTTAACATAGCTATTTCTTTGACCAGTCACAAACTAATCACTCAGCTGTTTCAATGCTAAATTCTTCCGTTTGATTTGTACCAGGTGCCTCTGTGGATGTGTATGTTTTGACTTTAACATAGCTATTTCTGTGACCAGTCACAAGCTAATCACTCAGCTGTTTCAATGGTAAATTCTCCCGTTTGATTTGTACTAGGTGCCTCTGTGGATGTGTAGGCTTTGACTTTAACATAGCTATTTCTTTGACCAGTCACAAACTAA